GCCATCTTCTCCACCTCTGTCATTGCACAAATGGGGAAACCGAGGCCCCTACGTGATGTGCTTTATCACACGGCTAATCGCAGCTGTCAGAACAAGAACACAGATGTCGTAGAATCCAGAAAAGTGCTTTGTCCAGATAGACAGGCAGGTAAAGAGAGAGAGAGAGAGTGTGTGTGTGTGTTTCTGTCTGCATGTATTAGAAGAGTTTTATATTTCAGTTCTAGTATGTGCCAGGATTTCTAATGTAGTCACAACTGAGAGATTTCAGTAGATCAGAATTAATGAGCACTGTGTTAAGTAGCCCCTTTCCTGAGCTCTTTGAGCCTTTTCTGAATCCCACTCAGCCTGTTCAGTGCCTCACAGGCCACCTCACCAGAGCAGCCAGCCAGCACTCAGACTATCCCCTAGTCCCGTGACCTTGGGCCAAAGTCTGGGCTCTGATGAAGCACAGCTAGGGACAGAATCACAGAATCATGCATCACTGCAGACACCCGAACTTGCTTCTGTATGATTCCTTTGCTGGACAGTTAGAACCACGTCTCTTGCCTACCTCAGAGCATTTTAGCGAAGATCCCTGAGATATGATCAATAAAGTTTTTAGGTGGAAGATTCCGTAAGCCCCTAGTAGCATTACTAATGTTGATGATAATTCGGTGACACAGTTCTGGTTGTCAGGTATGTACCCCCACCATTATATCTGGATCATTAATTACAACCTAAGAAACTGAGAAATCACATGATGTCACTTTATCTTTGGCCAGATATTCTTGTATCTTTTGCAAACCAGGTTAGAGGCATTCTTCTCGTAATGGTAAGAAATTCTAAAGGCCAGAGGAGCTTGCCCTCTGGGGAGAAGGTGCAACATCCCTGCTCCGGTCCTGCTTTTCTGAATCCTCAGAGAAAGGCTATGGGGGCGCCATCAGGAAGCTCAAAGGCGACTCTGAAAAATCTTTTCTCCGGAGGGCACTTTTCATGTCATACTTTGAGTGTAACTTAATCATATGTGGTGGAGCTTTGCTCACAAAGCAAAGTGGCCTGAAAACTGTTTCTTGGCCTTGCAAGGATGAGTCTTTGTGATTTGGAAGAGACCTAAAGACGTTTGACCTCTTTAGCTCTGTTTTTGTTTTTTTTTTTTTTTGTGGAAAGCCTCATTCTTTCCCATGCAAGCCGTCTATCTCTGCTTAACCCCAGTCACTCAGCCTGCACGTTGCTTGGATGGGGTTTTATTGTTCTTTGCTTTAAGGCTAATGAGGGCTGCACTTTTTGTCACTTTAGGTCTCGTAAGTGATTGAGACACCAGTTTTGAAGTATTCACAAGGAATCTACATTAAATGATTGGGTATCTTTGCTGTTTTCTGGGAAAATGTATGAAAGAAAATGGAAGGGCAAATAGAAGATAATGGGCCACACTTCCCCATGAGTTTGATGGCCCTAAAGGAATCCAACTCTTTGGAATACCTCCTAGATTTTTTATTTTAAAAAAATTGTTTTGGGGCACCTGGGTGGCTCAGTTGGTTAAGTGGCCGACTCTTTGTTTCAGCTCAGGTCATAATCTCAGGGTCCTGAAATTGGGCCCCACGTCATGCTCCCTGCTCAGCACAGAGTCCCCTTTCCCTCTCCCTCTGATGCTCCCCCTATTCTCTCTCTCTTTCTCATAATTATATAAAATCTTTTAAAAAAAAATTGTTTCATCAGGGCATTTGGCTTTCTTACACCCATCAGAATCTAGTGAAAAATACAATTTTGCACAACCTAGAATTTTCTTTTTGGGTCTTTGATTTACTGCCAATATTTTAAGTAGATTCTGGATTCTCTACCACTCAGAAAACATTGAGAACCACTCGTCATTGCAACACAAGTGTATATTGCAGATTCTCTGAAAGATTTTTGATATCTCATCCCCTTGCAAGATTTTCAGTTTTCTCAAATGAAGGCAAATCCATAGGGCATGAGGCCAAGGTTATTTTTGGTAGCATTATACCACGTCCATACATTATCACTTCTTTTATCTTTTCCCTATTTCTTCCTGTGTTTTCCTTCCTCCTCTGTTTTATGTTCTCTACCGTTAATTGAATATCTACTATGCGCCCATCATATGCTAATCCTCACATCAGCTATGCTGATAAAGACACAAAGGCTCATGGGGGCACCTGGGTGGCTCAGTCATTAAGCGTCTGCCTTCAGCTCAGGTCATGATCCCAGGTTCCTGGGATCGAGCCCCGCATCGGGCTCCCTGCTCAGTGGAGAGCCTGCTTCTCCCTCTCCCACTCCCCCTGCTTGTGTTCCCTCTCTCGCTGTGTCTCTCTCTGTCAAAAAAATAAATAAAAATCTTTAAAAAAAAAAAAAAAAGGCAGGGGCGCCTGGATGGCTCAGTCGGTTAAGTGTCTGCCTTCAGCTCAGGTCATGATCCCAGGGTCGTGGGATCGAGCCCCGCATCGGGCTCCCTGCTCCGCGGGAAGCCTGCTTCTCCCCCTCCTACTCCCTCTGCTTGTGTTCCCTCTCTTGCTGTGTCTCTCTCTGTCAAATAAATAAAATCTTTAAAAAAAAAAAAAAAGGCACAAAGGCTCATGGATGCCGAGCAACTCACCCCAGGTCACATAGTAATAAATGGCAGAGCCAAGAGGTTTAAATCTGCTTCCCCTCAGGACTATAACTTTTCCATTGCCCTCTGCTGTTTCTCTCCCCCTTTCTCTTCGACCATATGCTCCCCTTTACCTTTCCCTTTTTTTTTCCCTTTTCAATTGTGGTGAAACACACAGAACATAAAATTTACCATCCTATTTCTAAATGTACATACAGTTCAGTGGTGTTACGTACGATCCCGTCGTGCTGCCATCGCCAGTATCCGCCCTTTCACAGGACTCTTCATCTTACTGAAGCCCCGTACACACTAAACCACAGCTCGCCATCGTTCTTTCTGTCTGTGTGCCTTTGATTACTCTGGGTACCGCCTGTAAGTGGAATCACACAATATTCTTGTATGAGGGCTTTATTTCACATAGCAAAATGTCACAATGTCCATGCTGTAGCATTGTCTGGATTTCCTTTTTATGTAAGCCTGAATAATATTCCGTTGTATGCATATCCCCACATTTTGCTTATCCATTCGTTCATCAGTAGACCCTTGGGTTGCCTCCACCTTCCGGCTACTGTGGGTATTGCTGCTGTGCACATGGGTGTCCTGCCTTTCCCTCTTGAGAGCACCCCCCGCTTATCTTTTGCCTATATTTAGGCTTGTCTGTGGTACCCATAGACATTGCACAGTCCCACCAATAACACTAAGACCTGGAAAATCACCACTAAACTGTATAAGCTGTGGGTCATTTCACTTCTTTTTTCTTGTCATTTTTTTTTCTCTTCTTAATGTTGTCTTTTTTTTCAAGTTTGGTTTTTACATGGTAATAAGACATATTTTTGAATTTGTCATTTGTTCCTGTGTCTCTGTATTTCTGTTGTTGGTTTACACTTGGATGGAACTGCAGTAGAACTCTTTGATTCTTAAGAGGAATCATACAGAAGAGTTAAGCAGCCCATGTTTATTGAATGCAAGTATTAGGCTGGGGGTGTGAGATAGCGCATAAAGTGGGGCAGGAAGGTGGGGGTGGGCAGCTGAAGTGGAGGTTCCAAGGAACTTTTAACTTGCAAATATTCATTACTTTATTGTTTACTTTAAATAACTTAGAAATGTTGTTGTCAGATTAATGCAATATGTCTGAGATGAATTTGCCTCTCACCCCCATCACCATCCCACCATTTGGCAATGACTGGAGACCGGTTTGGTTCTCATGACTGGTGGGAGAGTGCGTGTTACTGGCTTCTAGTGGCTAGAGGCCAGACCTTACTGCCAAGCATACACAGAGCGCAGGACAACCCCCAACAGCAAATTATCTGGCCCCAAATGTCACTAGTGCCAAGGTTGAGAAACCCTGCAGTATGAAATATTACCTAAAAAATACTGATTAATCACCTAGTAATGAGCATAAAAAGACACAAATAATTTTTCTTAAGGCAGACTTCCTTATGATAGATAATACAGTAACTTGAAATCAAGCTAACATTTTCTATCTTGCAATTTTAATTATTTGCTAATCTGTGACATAAAATTTCAAATGCCTGAGTGGAATTTTTATATCTAAAGAAAACTTCCTAGTAAAAATTCCATCTTAAAAAACAGAACTCAGCATGCAATATATTGGCAATTAATGCCTATTTTAACAAGAGGAGAACATTAGCACGAGCAGTAAACTTTCTTTGTATTTGAAAGGCATTGTGTTATTGCCCCTGCGCATTTCTCTCTCGATGGCTTTATTTAGACGAGCACTATGTTTAGGTCTTAGCTCCTATACACATATTTTATGAAGTAATGCTAGAGACCCTAAAGGATGTTTTGCAGCATTGACTTAAAATATTCCAAGGATAACCCACTTGCACTGCAGATGACATTAAAAATATAAACAAAATTTCATTCCCAATCTGCCCTTCCATAAAATGGAACTTTCTTCCATAAAATGGAACTTCAACAAATGGAAGGGGTTGAGAAAGATCACTTGGAGATGCGATGGCCCCGGGCCAGGTAGCCCCCAGGCCACTGGGAGGCCTAAGCCCAGGTGTGCTACCCACAGGTGTAGACCAGTCTCTGAAAGGCCAGGGAGGATAGCGTGCAGTCACTGACCAGGAAGTCACCGTGGGCATGAGCCGCCGGGGCACGCCTTTGCCTGCTTGCCTGCCTCAATAAGCCTCACCTAGGCTTGGGCCAAGAATAATTGCAGGGCCTGTGATAAGGTCAGTCTGCCCTTTGCACACCCTTAGGGCTGAGCATTGAAAACTGTGTTCATGGTAAAAATCCCAAAATTCTTTCTTAATCACCAAGGGGAGAATCCATCTCGGCTTCGTGTTCCAATCTTCTGGCCAGATCCCAAAGGTTACCGTGAAAGTGCCCATCTCTGTACATAGCCAGGGATTGGTTCTCAGGCATCTGAATCCATGTTTTTCTGTTCCAGGACATGGGAAGAAGGCAAGGTGCTCATCTTTGATGACTCTTTCGAGCACGAGGTGTGGCAGGACGCCGTGTCTTTCCGGCTGATCTTCATTGTGGATGTGTGGCACCCAGAGCTGACACCCCAGCAGAGACAGAGCCTTCCAGCGATTTAGCATGTTGTGCAGGCTTGGGACACACTGGAGAGAGGCTGCCTTGCTGGTTCTATCTCCTTGGGTGTAGGGGTAGAGGTTCTGAGTCTGAGGGCCCTTCATTCCCTTAACGGGCAGCTCCCAAAATTCTAAGGCTCCTCCTAGGGTTAGAAGACACTAAATGGAATATTTTGCCTTGCTGCAGTTCACGTAGAAAGCCTCCTGCTGTCCTTCGTCTCACGACAGCACCCATCCGATGCTGTATTTCCAGCGAAGACACGAGAGCTTCTGCCTTGTCAGCCAAAGATATTTTTCCCACTTAGAAGAGGCCTGAATCAGTGTACAATGAGAATATATGTAGAAACTGTGAATGGATCACTTTAGTAATTTTTCTATGCAATTGTATTTTTCTAGGGTAGCTAGGCCATGTTTTTCATCATGTACCACTACTTTTTTCTTGAGTTTAATAATAAGCTGTGTAAATGCTTTACTTCTAGCTGCTTAATGGTGACTTCCCCCGTGAACTCAGACTTTCCTCTTTTAATTATTTTTAGTAAAAGACACTCACAAAGAAGCAATTTTATTTTCCTGATTCAAAGGAGAAAGATGTAATTACGCTGATGTCTGTGAACCGTATTGCTTCCCACCCCCTGAGACTCTTTGCTTTCTTATCTTCATTGAAAGCCATTGTCTTAATGTCTCTCCTCGCCATGCACATGGTAGAGATGCTGTCTTTCCAAGAGGAGCTTTTCATCCTGAAACAGGACATGGAGTCATTTTATCTTGAGTCATAAAAGTGCCACCTGTAATTTTTTTTAATGCCAAGAATTAGAACGTGAAAAAAAAAAAAAGTAACATTTCTCAAAGTAAAAATTTTCTCTCAGGGTCAGGTAGATAGGTAGCTGCTAGACAGCTGGCTCCTTGGCCTCCTTGGCATCTGAGACAGGGCTGGAATCCAGAGTCTCTTTGCCTATTGTGGATCCCTGTGAGTGAGGAGGTCCTTACATGGATCCCCATCACAGCTTTGTAAAAATATGAAGGATGGCAGAGCAGAAGACCAAGAATGCCAGGATCTTAGTCCTGGGTTTAGGATTGCCTTCTTCTTTGAAAGAGTTTGGAAGACTCGTCCATTTCCCTGGCTTGAGACGCTTCTGCCATTTAAATATAGCTTAGAAGTAGCCGTTGTTATCCATAGTTTAGCTTTAATATTATCCACAGCATAGAAATAACAGTTGAAAAAATGGTCTTGCCTACTTATTCCAAAGACAATCAAATTGTTAATTTAGAGGGGCATTAATGTATTAAATATTGCATGTTTCCAATCGAACTAGAAATGTTAGCTATATGAATGTAAGGATATTCATGCACCTGAATTTTAAGCCAATCTGAACAAAAATGCTGAAAAAATGACACAGAGTTTACCAGATTTCATTCAGGGGTAGAAAAAAACACTTGTGCTTCCTTTCCATCTAAGGACAAAGGAGGATGCTTTATCTCTTTTAAAAAGAGTTCTTTACCATTGAAAGGTACCCTTTTTGCTTGACATTAGCTTCCAGTTAGAAGGGTTTGCAAAATATTTGTCCTGTTCCCTTCTGTTTTGCCAAAAACAATCCCACTAATATAGATGAAGAAGCATGTGAGGAAAGTCTCCAAATTAATTACCAAAGTCCAGAAGAAAAAGCAAGCTCTTGAAAAATCAAAAGGTGTTGTGTCCTTCAGTATTTATTGAACAGAAGAAATGACTGACAAAGGACAATACAATCCAATGCTCATGTAATAACATTCATGTCACTTATTGAATTTGGTTCTTGGATGTATATTGCATACACGTAAAGAAATTTAAAGTATAAGTTGTCAATGTTAAACCATCATCTTACATTCATTTAATGAAATCATGGCATAGAGTAAAAACTAGCTCTTAACTCAATAATTATAATATGGTATTTAAAATCAGGTCACTACAGTAGGATTCTAAATATTGCCAATTGAAAAGCCAGAATTATTACTGTTGCAAAGTGTTGGCAATAATCGACTCCAACAGCATTTTAAATACTTGGATCCCACAACTATTTTATAAACCCAAGTCATAAAATGGATTTTCTAATTCACTTTAATTCTTTATCTTTCTTCCCTATGTCATGGAATATAAGAAAAGTGTTTCAGTCACTGCATGGGTAGAATTATCTCAATGTTACTATTTTGTTATTTGAAATGTCTACACAAAATGAATGGGTTTTACTTATACCATGATACAATCGGTTGAGAAATATTTTTAATTCTATTTCAATTTTATTTCAAGGGTGGAATACAAAAATTACTTCTCTTATTCTCCTCTGCCAGTAGAAAAAAAAAATTAAAACACTAGATTCATTGAGAAAGAGACGTAATAAATGGTTAAGATTAGTAATAATATCTACTGAGGGTGATTATGGCCAGTCAAATCACCTCTTTTCTCTGAATTTTTTAGCTAACCCTCCCAAATCCTGAAAACATAAAATCATATTTTTCTGCCCATTATCAACTAAAATATTTTTTATTTGACATTGAGCACCAACTGGTCCTACTGATAAATGCCCATGTCATGTGGATGGCTGGGAAGATAAGAGATGCCGTAAAACACACAACTGGTTTCGGGAAGCGTGGCACAGGTAAGGATATCTTATCCTGTGTTATCTGTTTATTTAATTTCCTTTGGATGGTTGGGGACTCCATTTCCAAGGAGAATAGACAAAGAAATAAAATGATCTTTGGCATTTTATCCCGCATTCCTAATCTCTTATGGTCAGTACTTGCATATTTAGCCATCGTTAAGGGTCTCCCTCCATGATTGGTACCTACCCTCTCAGCAACAGCCAGCTCCCTTCTCCATACCTTTAGCTGGTTGCGGGAGGGTGGGGGAGTTAAATGCTTTTGTAGCACTTTTCTTGCCTGTAGTGACCCAAGTGAGGCAATTTGAATGGAGCCATTAATCACTGGCATGTGTTTTCGATGAGGCCCCGCCCCGAGCTCTCACCCACAGTACACAGTATACCGCGTCTCCCCCCCCCCCGCAATCTCATGTTGCCTGTAGGAAGTCACATTATTAAGATGAAATAATCTTATTTCAAGTTGTGTGTGTCTTCTTTTAAAGTCAGATCATGGTAATCAGCTGGTCGCCTGACAAAAGATGTGACGTCAAAGTAATTCTTGCAGGATCTCAAAATAAGGAAACTCTGCAAAGAGCCAGACCTATAAGAACAAGCCCTTGGGCTGAACAATTCAATGCTGGTGATGAGGTCAAAGAAAATAATTCAATAAGAATGGAAATTCCTGGAGATACTACTGTCTTGGGGCTTTGGACTACATTGAGCTTGACAATTGGGTCTGCACAGTTTCATTCTCATGTATCTACTTGGAAATGCACTTAATCTTAAGCCACAAAACCTGGAGAGGGTCTCTGCGGTACCTCAGAAAAATCCTGGTACGAATGCATCAAATTGCATCAAATGTGTGCATCAAATTTAGTTTTTCTTTTTTTCAGTTCATTTAATACTATAAATATGGGGGAGGAAGAATCATGTTTACATGACTGCCTTGCTTCACCTGCAGTCCCCTCGCTGAAAGAAACAAAACCAAAAGCATCTCTCAAGTTCTTGTTCAAACCTTGGCGGCTCAGACCAATGGCTGGTGACAGTTATTACTAGATGGCAGAAGTGGAGGGCCTTGTGTCAAGCGGAACGCACGTGTCTGTGTGGGTCAGTTGCTCATGTGCTTCCCGGGTGGCTGATACCACTGAAGGCTGGCGATCTGCGAGAGCATGGGGTGACTCGGGGTTCAGTCCAGAGCCAGGAGTGGCTGAGTGTTCTCATTCTCTCCCTTCTCCTCATGTTTCAGGGTCCCAGCTTCTACCACAGACTGAGATCTAATAATAGGGGAAGGAGAAAGATACAATTACAGACAATTCATGGTGGCAACAATTTTGGAATCTTGGAGAACATTCAGATTTTATGTTCCCCTTATTAATCAAAACACTCAGATTATATAATTTTCCTCCTTTTGGTATCTCTCTTTTCCTTGCTTTTTTGCCTTCTACATCACATACTTGTGGGGAGACGCATCTTAGAAACTTCTTTGCCGAGATCTCTTCTGTTGGTAAAAGCAACACATGTTCTAGCCACAACTCTGCCCTGGTGTCTAAACATTCTGTGGATCGTGAGATCAAATCAAATAAATCTTGTTGGATTTTTTTTAATGTTTCAAAATACTTTTTAGAGCCTTTGTTTCTCAACGTCATAGGAAACTATCATGCATGATGTTAAGACCATGAGGTTTGGAATCAGATCGGTAAATGCAAACTCTGCCTTTTACTGGCTGAGGGACCTTGAGGGAGTTCTTAAAACTCTCTGGACCTTCACTCTCTCACCTGTAAAAGAGAACTATTACCTCCCTCCCACGGTTGTTGATAAGGCCTGAAACTAATAATATTCATAAAGCATTTGGCATGTAATTTTAGTTAAAATTTGTGGAGCATTCTGTTATCACTGTTATTGCAATGATAGTAGTGATCTTTAGTTTCTGATACGTCCTCTCAATTGGATGATAACAGTTTCTTTTTTGGGTTTACAATGTGGATTGAAACTGAAATTATTTTCCAGCTCATAGAGAGAAGGTTATAAGAGATATACATGTGATAAGCACTCAATAAATATTCACATACTAAAAAAAAGTACTTCAAGCCTTAGGAAAATGGTTGACTTTGATTGTTCAAATAAGCAAAATTTATATATAATGTGCAGTAAAATGTTAATTTGGGAGTCTGAGTTGCCCAAACCCTCCACATTCCAAATGTCCCTTGACTGGCTCTTCTGAACCCTTGGAGTATCCCGCCTGATAAAATGTCTTTGTGTGCCTGAGACTTTGGGCCATGCCATATAGTTTATGCCAGCAACATGATTTATTGTGAACGCCTTTTTTGTATGTCCGGGTGTGGGGTCACACTATGTCAGTTTGACCTCTCGTGGGGGCAAGTGGGGAAGGAGGAGCTGAAGACTGCATGTTGTGTGACTGACTCATCCTGGACACCAAGGCGTGGGGGAGTTTCCCTGGTTGGCCACACCCGGTGCGTGTTGTCACACACTGCCAAGGGAATTAAGCTCTGTCAGGACAACCGCAGCGTGCGATTGGTCCAGGGCAGCTGCACTCCACCCAGTGCACCTTTCTCCTTTGCTGATTTTAATCTGTATTCTTTTGCTGTAACAAACCATAACTGAGTATAACAGCTTTTCTGGGACGTGTGAGTCCTTCTGGCAAATTACTAATCCTGGAGGAGGTCGAAAGGACTCCTGAAACAGTATATAATAACACTAATACTTGTTTTGTATGCACCTGGTACCGATGGAAGCTCTTTACATGTATTAACTTACTTCATTTTCACAACCCTAAGGCGTGGTGCTATTATGATCTCCATTTTATAGGAGGGAAAAAAACCTAAGGGGAAAAAGCAAGTAGCCTAGGAAAGGCAACACAAATAGATCACACCACTTCCGGGCGTTACATAGGGCTGCAGAGTTGTTTAGCTGAAATATGTAACGTTCCTTCCACCTCACTGCAAAAATAACTTTCTGCCTGAGATTCTTATCTCCATTCAGGATGTGTACGTACCATAGAACATTTAAAGAAACCAAGAAGCAAATGCATACATACACTTGTCTCAAAACAGTCAATTTCTACTAGAAAAATCAATCCAGTCAAACAGTCCGACTTTAGGTACCCAGCCTAAGCTTTGAAAGTGAAATGTAGGGGCGCCTGGCTAGCTCAGTCACTTAAGCGGTTGACTCTCGATTTTGGCTCAGGTCGTGATCTAAGGGTAGTGAGATCAAGCCCTGCAGCAGACAGACTCTGCGCTCAGCGAGGAGTGTACTTAAGATTCTCTCTCCTTCTCCCTCTGCCCCTCCCTCCCATTCCCGCTCTCTGTCAAATAAATAAATCTTAAAAAAATAAAAGAGAGTGAAATGGATTCATTTACTACTGGGACAGGGCAGAGGAAGCCCCAGCTCGGAGTCTAGCTCAGCTATTTTACACATTTCCTATGCATTTCCTTCTGCTTTAGGGAAGTGCTTGATGTGTGTGTGTGTAGACAGGGGTCGGGTAGAGCAATAGATTTATATCAGGAACAGAAAAGCTGAAAGCCCAGGGTGCCTGGGTGGCTCAGTCAGTTAAGTGTCTGCCTTCGGCTCAGGTTCTGATTTCAGGGTCCTGGGATCGAGCCCCGAGTCAGGCTCTCGGCTCAGCAGGGAGTCTCCTCCCTCTCTCCCTCTGTGCTCGCTCTCTCAAATAAATAATTAAAATCGTAAAAAAAAAGAAAGCCCAGAAGGCATTAAAACAAGCCTGAAGAACACCAGAGGAACACAACTGGCTGCTCAGGCCAGCTCCCTCTGGCACCTCAGACAGCTGCCTGCTTCATCCTCAGGCCCCGGGGAGAGTGGAGGGTACTGACAGGTGTCCCACTTCGGAGACCTTACACTGCACTTCTCTTTTTTCAGGCCAGTTGGCTCTATGTTACCACATGGCCAGGGAATCACAGCCACAGCGTGACAAGACATCTTAGTGACCCGTCGAGGCTGACCCAATAGGAACTATTCAGTAGGGGGCCATGCAGCCTCTTTTTGAATATATATCCGACTTGAGAACCTCACTCCTCCATGCCCCTAGAGGGGCAACTCTACAGGAAAGTTCTTCCTTACCCTGAACTCAAACCTGTCCTTTTGCAACTTCTATATACCGTTTCTGATTCTGTCTGCTGGAGCCATCAGTGTCCGTGTAATCCACCTGGTCCACATAACCAGCCTTTAAGTATTTACCTAGTGCCCTCGTCACCAGCTAGAACCCAAGACCTGACCTTTCACTGCCCACCTGCTTGTACGCACCGACTTTTGCCCCCCATTTTTCCTTAAGCTCTTCTTTCCAGCTTACCTCTTACCTCAGGCACATGAAAGTGGAAACCACCCTTCTGGAGATAGCAACTGCCCTGACAAGACTTCCAGCCCACCCAGCTCACCCAGACCAGCTTGAGCTAAACCCCTACTGGCATCTGCACAGAAGGACCATAGAGTGACCTCCAGAACTACCAACAACCACCTTTACCTCATTATCCCAAGGAGGAGCACAAGCCTCATTTACATAACATACAAAATATGGATAGGCATGTTTCCTTAAGGCGCATGTGCAACCCAATGCCCATCTCTACACAGGGTGACAAGGATCCGCTTTTTAAATAGTCACCCCAACCCTAATAAAAGGAACCTATCCACCCTTGCTTGGGGAGTCACGACTTCGGAAGTTATTCCCTGGGATCTCCTTATTTGTTGCAGGTCAAGTTTCCTTTGTGTGACAACTTACCTGGGTGCAGTGTCTACCTGCGACTCACCAAGGAGCAAAGTCACGTTGGTTCCGTGACACCCTCAACCCTCTCCCTGCCACCACTGAGGCTAACCAGATTCCTCTTTTTAGATTTGCCAAGATTTCTAAAATTACCACTGGGACGCTCTCCTGCAGCTCTTCATCAACTGGTTGCCCACAAGGTGTCACCTCAAAATAGAGTGAAATTATTGTCTCCCTTTTTTTTTTCCTCTTTGTACGCTTCTGTGGAAGCATAGACAATGTGCCTAGAATTGCATTAGCCTTTCTGGCACTCATACAACATAGCTGAGGAAAATTTAGCTATATTTGCATATGCTGCTGGTAAACCATTTCTCTTCCCTCTTGAAGGTGCGTGGTTGAGTATTCAATTTCTTCCTTTTAAATTTGGCTCAGATCTCCACCCTATCTCTGTTTTTTTGGGGATCTTGAAAATTGTTATCCATCCAAATTATTGTCTGTGATTTTAACGAGTATTGGATTTGCTTCCAAACTTTCCCCGCCCCTATTTGGGAAGCCACTATGGAAAAAAAAATCCACAAATTGTCAAAAATTGAATTTTCAAACAAAAATCATTTATTTATACTCATTTACAGCAAGAAATACTTGAGAATGTCTCCTGATATATGCCAGGGACTGTGAGCAAGTGTTCAGGAACCTTACTTCTCTTGTGGAAATATTGCTTCAGTAACCCAGTGTTAGATGCACAAACAGATGTGGGGTTACTGTGATAGACACCCAGAGGAGAGGGTGTTTGGAGGTGAGGTGTTAGCTCTAGCAGGACAGGAAGGAAGGAAAAAGCTATCATTCGCACGGTGACATTATTCACAGTCCCTGTTCAGGTGACCCTCCTTCCTTCCACTTAGGGTCAAATTTAGATCGATGTGATTTCTTTCAATACCTGTACTGACGGCAGGCACACAGAATGCAGGCTGTCTTATCTCAGTGGATACACTGTGTGTCTTGGGTGAGCGGCAGGTAACAATTGAACAATACGGAGGAGCTGAGCATGAGGAACCAAATGAAACATTTTCTTTCTTATCTGTATCTCCCCTGATTGAATAGATGACCGGAGCCTTTTTTACTTTCAGCATGACATAATTCCATTTACCTGGTCACACAACGGACATTTGATATAAGGAACACACTGCATTGTGAAAGAGTTGAAATTTGGAAAACAGCAAATGTGGCTTTTCTTCTTAAATATCACCCTCCGGACATTTAGCAGAGTCAAAGCACTCTCTGAGAAGACTGATCACAGGCTCACCGATAAAAATGTCACCACCACTTGTAAACGGAGGGCTCAGAAATGGTGCATTGAGCACATTAACCACGGAGAAGCCACTCGCCTTGTGACTTCCTTGTCCAGGTCACTCTTGGAGGTAATCTCTTCGTTCAGTGACTTTGCCTCCCCGCAAGAAGCTTAACCCCTCCACTGAAATAAACATTTTAGACTTTTCTCTGGGGTCCTCTTTGCTACACTGAAAGCCAGTTTGACCCCAAGGG